TGGGCCAACCTAAAGACTGGGCAGCTAGATCCCATGGCTGACTACGCCATTTGAGTCTAGATTTGGCTACTTGAGAATCACATTGGGCATGTGTGTGTGCCTGTCCAAAATCCCGAGAGGAGAATGGTGGAGAGGGGATTGTGGCATGGCCATCCCCCTTGGGGGTGCTTTCTCACTTTCTTTCTCTCTCCAGTAAGTATAAGTGCCCTACAGCAAATTTAAAAATAAATAATATTATTAAAAAATAAATTATATAAATTAAAAAATAAAACATGGGGTAGATCTACAGTAATCGGCATGAAATAGTTCATGCTAATTTAAAATTTAAAAGAGCAGAATGTCAAACCATATCTGCGGTGAGCCTTGCTTATCCCAAACAGGCTTCAGTGATGTCTGAGCACACACACAAGTGGTTTCCAGAAGCACATCCACCTCAGAGTGGCGAGGAGTTATGACCGGGTTGGGGAATTCCATAAGATTTTTATGTACTTCTTGGTATTTTTCTGAACTCTTAGGATAGTTATGAATTGTTTTTATATGAAAAATAAAGCCCTTTCCTGAAATAAAAACATCAGGGGCCCTTCCTCTCCCACTGGGGAGTGGCTCCTGAACACCCCCTGGCTCCCATCCCAGCTCCCCGCCCCAGGCAGGGCCCAACATGCTGATGAAGAACGAGGGACATGCCCCGTTTGTGGTCACATTTTTGATGCTCCTCCCGGCTTGGCTGAGCTGGAGGAGGGAGAACGAGTCGCACCCTTGGGTGTGTTCCTGGAGATCCCATTGATTAGACCTATTGCCCAGGTGCCAGAGGGTTTTCAGAGGCTGCACTTGCATGTTTACATATGTTAACCACCTGATAGTGTGCACCGTTGATTCTGTATTGTAGTAAACAGATCAGTGGACAAACCCAAAAACCAAGATGGGAAGACAGAAGCCACTGAGTGTGTAAGGAGTCCCAGGAGGGAAGCAGCGAGTCCCAACAGGCTCTGGCTGGGCTGCCACAGTGCCAGGAGCCGTTGGGCACCTCTCTCGTGGTGAGAACTATTAACTCCAGCACTGCTAGCAGCCACAGGGGACATATCCTGGAAGGAACAAAGATGCATAAACACATAACGAATAGGAACCCCCTAGGCACTTCCTGACCCGGTGAGCCACCCCGTCAACGGGAAGCACACGTTTTACAGCAGTAGCTGTTACGCTTGGAACATGACCGCACAATGAACAAGGACCCAACTTCAACAGGAGCCAAGAACGCCTCCCGGGGGCTGTCGATGGTGCTGCAGTTATCTGCAGGAAAAGTCAGAGGTGGGGAAGGGTGGGGGGGCCTTCCCTTGCCATAAGAACAGTCGCATGCACTGCCCAGAGGCTACCCAGGACCTGGTCTTCGGGATAATATGGAGGGCAGGGACCCCCTGAGTGTGAGGCCGGCCCTGCTGATTCTGGGTCTCACCAGAATACTCATTCGACACACATGCCCCTGGGTGGCTCCCAGCTGCCCCTGGACTCACTCCAGCCTCCCAGCAGCCCCTGCAGCCTGGCCCTGTCCCACTGATGGCTTCCATACACATCCTGACACACGCAGCGTTTTGATTGCCTTTCCTCTTCCTCTTCTGTAGGACAAAGTCCAAATGTCTCATGAAACTGCTGGCCTCCCTAGCAGAGCGCTGCTGTTACCGGCTCTGCGGCTCCCTGGCTGGCAAGATGTCCCACACATCCGGGCGACTGTACTGATTGGCCATGGAGCAGAGGGCCTGTGGTGTGGTATGTCTTCCCTCTCCAGTTCCAGCCTCCCGCACCCCTGCATGTGGGCATTTAAATTTTTTTTTTAGGTTTGCCGTAGGGTACTTGCACTTGCCAAAGAGAGACAGAGACAGGGAGAAACCATCCTCCCCCCCACCCCCACCCACGGGGTCGCTCTGCTGCAGTCCCTTCTCCTCCAGTCTCCTCTTAGGATTTTGGGCACACAGTCATGCACACGCACCTCATCTTTTTTTTTTTTTTGGAGAGATTTTCGCTGTAGGGCGCGTGCGCTCGCCAGACAGACAGAGAGAGACATAGAGACAGAAAGCGAGAAATCACCCCCGAGAGGGGATGGTCACGCCGCAATCCCTTCTCCTCCATTCTCCTCTCGGGATCTTGGGCACGCACGCACACGCGCCCGGCGTGAGTTTTAAGCCTCCGGGTCCAGGACACGAACCGCGGTCGACTACGTGGGAGTCCAGCGACATAGCCATTACGCTAACTGCTGGTTCCCCCTCATCTTTTTTTTTTAAGGTATAAGGTCTGGGACTCGAACCAAGCAGTCGGCCATTTGGTATCTAGTGCCTTGACCACCATGCCACGTGCTGGCCAGCGTTTGCTGCCTGTCTGTTGCCACACATCCTCTTCCCCATCTTTAGGTACCGGGGTTGAGCGTTTGCTCTAGGAGTCCCTGGGACCACCCAGTTCAAGTGGTGTCAGTGGCCCCCTTAGCTCCAGAGATGAGTATGCGGCCAATTGGGTGCCACATTCCCTGAGTCAAAGGGGTTGACTCAAGGGGTTCATACCACCCACCCAGAGGCGGAGATGGGGCTTTCCTGCAGACTCTGAGCCTGGAGGGTCGAGGAGCCAGCACAGCGGAAGCACGTCTAGAGACAGAAGTGAGGACTGCGCTCTAGCCCCTTTCCCTCGTTCTAACATTCCCTCCAGGGGCCCCGAGGGAGTCGGGAGTCGCACCGCCTACCCTCACTCTTCTAACCAGGCCGCCTTGCCTCGTAATTGGCTTTACTTCTCCTACCCTCCCTCCGGCACGACAGCACACGGGCTAAGCAAGCTCCCATATCTATGCTCCGGGTGAACTTAAACATTCCTTTCTGCTGACCCCAAGGTTTAAGCAATGCTTCCTCTTTTAGCCAATAACAAATGAAAGAATCTCACCTATGACCTAGAAGCCCCCCCCCCCAATACTGCAAGATAATCCCTCCTTTTTGGGTCAAGTCAATATATAACCTCTATGTACTGGTTTATAGCTTCGTGATTTTACTTTCCTGATATGTAGAAAAGTCCTATCACCCGGCTGCCACAGAGCACTTCCTTAAGGCATCTTGAGGTGGCGTTTCGGGACACGGTCACTCGCATCGGCTAAGACGCCCCCTTTCGTTATTTTACAGTTTGCCTTTTCCTTAGAGGAGGGAAACCGGGTGTTGGAGCCGCATTCAGCCCTTCATCAGACCACACCTGAAGTAGCCCTTCAGTCACACGCACCTGCAAATTCCTTCTGCTGAAGTCACTTTAGGTCAGGTTCCTATTATTTGCCACAAAGAGGATCAAGATAGATGCGTCTCCTCCCCAGTGCTGCAGCCACGCCAGTGTCCCCCACCTTACTGCCACTGTCCTCGTGTTAAAAATCTTTTCGAGGGCCTGGCAGGGGATTTTAGTGACTTCTTACCTGCATAATGACTCACTGAAGTGGATATCAGTAGGGTGCATGTGCTCACCAGAGAGACAGAGACAGGGAGACAGAAAGCGAGAAATCACCCCCTACGGGGGATGGCCATGCTGCAATCCCTTCTCCTCCATTCTCCTCTCGAGATTTTGGGCACCCACGCACATGCACCTGGCATGAGTTTAAGCCACCCGGTCTGGGACTTAAACCACGGTCGACTGCATGAGAGTCCAACGACACAGCCATTACACTAACTGCTGGTCCAGATATCAGTGCTTTCAACTCAAGGGTGTAGAAATTAAGGCTCAGTAGCACCTGGGGAACGGAAGTTGGAGCCTGCCTCATGGTACCAGTCTATAGGGTCCTCCCACCCCCAACTTGGCCTGAATGCTCCTTCCCTGCTGAGGAAAGTGCTGCCCAGCCTTCACGGGCCAGCTCGAGGGCATCCTCCTGAACACTGGACCTGACCACTACCCTCGTCTCATGTCCTGCCATGCTGGCTCCCACAAGGTTTCCATCGGTCTCATCTTAGAAGTCAACCACTTACGGATCCTCCTGGTCTCTGCTCAGGTTAACTTCCTCCTGGCAGTCCTCCCGAGCCTTTCTGGATCTCCCCATGCCCATAATCGCTCCCTCTCCCAGCAATGGATGGGGCCATGCCTGAGCAGCAGGGCTGCAGGGTCTGTGCGGCTAGACACATGTTGCACTTTCACACTCCCTAGCCTTGATACATGGATAAGACTGAGGGCTCCTGCCTGTCAGGAGCCTTAGGACCCCTTTCCCTCAGCAAGACAGTCATTAAAAGGGAGTGGCACATCTGTGAAAGGTCTCAGGAGATGGGATTCCATTGACTGCTTACTTGGGGAAAGGTTGTGAGATTTAATAAACTACTGCACGTGGCACTTTGGGCCTGGGTGCATGGTAGGTTTCCAACAAAGTTACTTCTTTCAGTCAACACGTTATGCCCAACACTGCTTCCTGCTAATAGCCTGTTGGGACTTTTTTTTTTTTTTGGAGAGGTTTTTGCTATAGGCGAGTACACTCACCAAAAAGACACAGAGAGACAGAAAGTGAGAAATCACCCCCAGGGGGATGGCCACGCCGCAATCCCTTCTCCTCCATTCTCTTCTCGGGATCTTGGGCACGCACACACATGCGCCTGGAGTGAGTTTAAGCCACTGGGTCCGGGACTCGAACTGTGGTTGACTACATGGGAGTCCAGCAATATAGCCATTACGCCAACTGCTGGTCCCAGGACTTTCCAATACACACGTTTTACAGCTGCCTTTGCTATTCCAGATCAGTGCAAATGTGGCCAAATGAGGACCCGAGACGTCGCGCTGGTGGGGAAGCTGGGGCTCTTTTCTCAGCCACAGGAGAGAGAACTATGGAGTTGACATTGCTACAAAGCCTTCTCTGCCTTGGCCCACAAACCACCGCGGCCCTCTTTGCACAGGCGCAATTTTTAGGGTACATGTCCATGTTCTGTAGCCCTTGAAGTGGCACGGGCATGATGAGGCATCTGCAGGGACCCTCTCAGTCGGAACAAACCTCCCCACCCCAGCCCCATCTTCACCTCCAGTCTCGTCCTGTCCACATCTTTAGGCAGTTTCACACGAATTCGGTTTGTTACGATGAGGCTGTCATAAGGATAGACCTGCCGGGGAAGAAACCACAGATTACCTCGAGAAGCAAGTGTGAGCTGGGACCGAAGAGCGGAGCAAAAGGCCAACCGAGAATACATACTTGCGTCTGCATCGGACACACACATTTCATAGGGAAAGCACAACAAAAGGAACGTTTAACCTGGGCAGGTGCAGAACGGTGCGAAGAGGTGAGCGTGAGAGTGGGCGGCCCCTCTTACCTTGTACTCTGTAAGAAAAAGAATGGAGACCACAGGACGGTTTAGGAAGCGTGAGAACTCATCCCGAGGTGGAAGCAACCCATTCTGGAAGGTAGCCCTTGCCCACTCTGCAGCCAGCTGGGCCATGCAAGGTCTCCTGGTCCCCTGGCAGCTGCACTTGGGCTGCGATCTCAGAGCTGCAGGAGGAGCAGCTAGAGGGTCTCCCATGGAGACCAAGAGCAGAAGGCATGGTCAGGAGGCGGGAGGCCAGACAGGGAGCCGATGGTGGCACTGTTTCTCTGGTGGTCCGGGCCACCCTGAGAAAGACGCCTGCCTATTGACCTGCCTGAGGAGTGGGCATTCCAGGGTAACCTTTTGACAAAACTTCTGGGGGTGTTGTGGAGGCTGACATTCCCACTATGGTCTGACCACCACCCCTCAGCCTCTTACTGTCTTACCTCTGAACTCCACTTCCTTTCTGAACTACCAAGCCTGCATGCTAGGCTTCCAAGTGTGTTTCTTCTGGACTAAAAGTATCTTATTAAAAAATAAAATTCTACGGAGAGTTGAGCCTCTGTGCAGCCATGGAACCCAGAAAGAGCTATCTCTGGAACCTCAGTCTTCCGCCTGTTCTAGAAGACCCCGTGATGACGGCATGCCACATTATCCCAATGTGGAAAGCTGCTGAGAGGGAGCAGGCTGTGACACCCTGATGACCTGTCATCCACACGTGACCCGGTCCTTGAGAGCAGGCCTCTCCCCACCCTTCCCCCGTGAGCTGAGCATCGCCTGGGCTACAGAGTGGCCTGCATCAGGTACCTGCCACGTGACCAGGTGGCCACTCCGGTAACACCAACCTCCCGGGCACCCCTCCCGGTCTGAAGCCCAGAGAGCTGCACGGCATGCCAGTAGCCATACTGCGAGCAAAGGCAGGGTGCACGTTCAGACCCTAGGAGCTTTCTGCCTGAGACTGCTTCCCCAGGTGACGCAGAATGCTGGGTAAGGCAGGACGGGACCGACAGCACCCAAGGATGGGAGAGAGGGGAACATCTCAGGTCACGTCAGCATGGAGGTAAAGTGGTCCCAGGCTGGAAGGGGTGGGAAAAGGAGCACGCACTCCCATGACAGCTCCCGGCCCACCACGCCTGGAGTCTGCCAGCAGGCCCCAGAGGGGGCAGTTTCAGAATGAGACTGGTGGAAACGTAAAAGCAACCCCCAGCCCCAGCCAGAGACCCAGGGGGTCCCCGCTGTGTGTACCTCGCATGCCCCAGCTGGCATCCAGGTCTGCTCCACAAGGGGCCAGATTGGCATTCTGGAAGAGAAAGAGAGAGAGGGCGGCAAGAGGGAGGTTTTATTGGGAAAGGCAGGCCGGGACCACAGGGCCCGGGAGTTGTCCCCTCCCCATGTGCCTCAGTCGCACAGCCTGGAGACGAGGGTGTCTGCAGCACAGTGGTGGGGCAGAGGCAGGAGAAGGGGGTCCAGGGGACTTGTAGGCCTGCATGCTTGCTGGGTTTGTCACAGACTCTCCGCCACCTTGGAAGCTCTGCTGGCCTGCCTGTCTAATCGACTCCAACTTGTCTACTTTTATTATTTTTAACTCACCAGAGGAGAGGGCATTACCTAGAGGGAGACAGAGAGAGGAGAGGAAGAAGTGACCTGCAGTGGAGTGTTCTGGGGTGGGGTGCTCTGTCCCCCTCTACACAGTGGACTCGGGCACAGTGCCTAGACTGCATTGTCCCCTGGTGCTCAGAGTAGGCCCAGGCTCCACTGTGGCCCCTCTGTCCCTCACACATGGCCATCGACTCCTAGGGTTGGGCCCATGCTGTGGGACTTCCTGTCTGTCCCCAGAGTCCCAGATACCAGCTATCCTGACACACACCGCTATGGACAGACTGAGCCACAGTCCACCAGCCCGGCTGCTGCAAGACCAGAGGAGCCTCCACTTCCTCCCTGGAAGCTGCGAGCACCACCAGCAGCCCCGCCTGTGACTTTCTCGAGAACTAAAGGAGCTAGTGTCTGTGAAGCAGCTGGCATGAACCCAGGGTGTTGTGAACGCCTCCTACTGCGGGGCTGACACGCTGGCACGAACACTCAAGGGGAGGCACTGCAGGGGCGCGGAGCAGAGGGGGCCTGCCCTGTGTCCAGACAGCCCGCACCTGCCCAGGGCACTCAGCAGATGGCAGATACGGCACATGACTGTTAATGGCCGCAGTTCCCTTCTCCTCCCTGCGAAATCGTCCATGCAGCCTGCGACCCTGTGGAGGGTCTCCACTGCTCTAAAACAGGCACGGAGCCCCTGCAGGGGTTCGGCAGTCCAGCTCCTGCATCTTACTGGTACTGAGAGCCACGCTCCGCCGTGGCCATGTATCTGCTGCCCACAGCGGACTGAGCCCATGGAAGACAATGTCTTATTCATTCCTGACTCTCCAGTACCTGTAACAGCGTCTGAAACAGGGTCAGGGCTCTTGGCCAGCAATTCAGAAATTGGGTACAGGAATTAAATTTCAATGGAGAGAGTTACGATTAAAAGGGAGATTGTATGCGTACCCAGTGGATATTGTTACAGGAAAAAGTGCTTTCAGCACTCACTCGCTGCAGTAGGTAGGTAGGCATTGGCTACAGGTCTAGGATGTGTGGAAGAGAGAGGGACCTCATCTGAAACAGGGAAATTGAGACCTCCTGCCACAGAGCTGGACCCTGCAGCCAGGACCAGGCTGATGGGGGGGGGGCTTATAAACAGAA